CTCATCACACAAAAATAACAGCCATCAAATCTTCCAATGTGTATCTTTGTTTTTTCTTGTGTAAACAAATATACTTTTATTTCAAGAATGAAACGTAGTACTCATTTGTGCCTTGGCGTCATTCATTCCTCAGCAACAAGTCAGAAGCATTTGTGGCGTGTCTGTCCTTAAGCACTCCAGACCATTTTCTTTAGTGGCTACCCTGCGTTCTGTTACAGGAATGCTCTGTAATTCATTTAAGTAATTCCCTATTGCTGGACTTGGGTTGTTTTCCAATTCTATGTCTTAACAAAATGTTGCAATAATTACCCTCTAGATAAACTGTGCCATATATTCATATTTATTTCCTTAGTATAAATTCCTGGGAGTGAAATAAAGGAGTCGTGGTTTAAAGGCCTTGGGTACATATTTCCTAACAGCACTCCACTTTAACTCTACAGCTAGTGGTGTTTGAAAAACGATTCCTTTCCCGTACCTTCAATACAACTAAGTGTTACTATAAAAAGTCAAATATTTTCCAATCTGATTGGAAGTAAGGGGCTATCCTTTTCAGTGGCACTTATATTTCATTTGTTTTCTTTACCTATCAATAATGTTAATCTGCCTAATACAAGTTATTTGTAGGTCAAGGGTGTCTTATATCTGTAGGCACTTTCTTCCCCACCTCCTCTCTCCCTGTCCCCCAACTGACCTTTCTGAGTTTTCCTCCTTGATTATTCATTAAGAAGAGACCATTGTCTTCCATCTACACTGCAACTTACATCGCTTTTAAAGATTTATTTATTTTTATTGGAAAGGCAGATTAGGTTTACAGAGAGGAGAGACAGAGAGAAAGATATTCCATCCAGTGCTTCACTCTGCAAATAGCTGCAATGGCCAGAACTGAGCCCACCTGAAGCTAGGAGCCAGAAGTGTCTTTTGGGTCTCGCACAGGGGAATAGGGTCCCAAGGCTTTGGGTCATCCTCCACTGCTTTCCCAGGACATAAGCAGGGAGCAGGATGGGAAGTGGAACAGCTGGAACACAAACCACTTAGCCATAGCACCAGGCCCAGCTTAAACCACTTTTTTTTTTTAAAGATCTATTTTTTTATTGTTTTTTTATTGGAAAGGCGGATATACAGAGAGGAGAGACAGAGAGGAAGATCTTCCATCCGATGATTCACTCCCCAAGTGAGTGCAACGGCCGATGCTATGCCGATCCGAAGCCAGGAGCCAGGAGCCTCTTCCGGGTCTCCCACGCGGGTGCAGGGTCCCAAAGCTTTGGGCCGTCCCCAACTGCTTTTCCAGGCCACAGGCAGGGAGCTGGAAGGGAAGCGGGGCTGCCGAGATTAGAACCGGCGGCCATATGGGATCCCAGGCGTGCAAGGCGAGGACCTTAACCACTTGCGCCACGGCGCCGGGCCCTTAAACCACTTTTAAAGAAGCGATCAATACCTCCGCATCTGCACCAATGACTCACTAATGAAATTTGAGGCCATCAAATAAAGTGATACGAAATTTTCCATGAAACGAAAAACAGAGAAGTGCGTCTCTGAGTCCCTGTAAGGTCCCCATGCAGGTAACAAGAACAAGTAAGAGGGAAGATCTTGCTCAGGGGCATGATCCGTGTGGTCATGCCCCTCGGGGAGGCCGGAACTTCAAAGTAGCCGATTTGACGGGTCCCACGGTGATGCTTGCTGCGGTTGTCAATGTGACAAAAGCCACGGGACTTTCTTGTCTCTTAAAAACCGGTGTCGTATCAATTAGTATGTTTAGTATGTCACCAGGGACCGGGGAAGAAACAGAACTTCCTCTTGAGATAAACATTTTCATTTAGAACTCATTAATAAAAACGTAGCTGGGAAAGTTGTAATCATGATTTAAATCACAAAGACACACTCCCAGGTCAGTGCTCTTGGGAGCGAGTTCATGTTTGTCGTCTGTTAAGGACCTTATTAGGGCTTGAAGACACATTTCAAATCTTGGCCTCAGCACGACTTCCAAGCTCGTTTCAACTCCCAGCATGCTGTTAGAGCTGACATTGACTCGCCCGTGCTTAATGTGTATTTCCCACAAGAAGGAAGCCAATGCATCACACTTTGTCAGCGAGTCCTCTGGGAAGCAAAGAACAGTAACAGGAGAGGGAGGGTGACCCCCCTGGGGGTGGAATATGAGGGTCTCCATGCAAAATGTGTGTTATGAGAAAGCTTTGCATGGATTTCGAAAAGAAAAGTATGTACACCAAAAGAAACTCTTTTAGTTCTATTGTCCCGCGAACTTTCTGAAGTCACCCTTAACAGTGTCCTACCCTCTTTATGCAAGTGTTTGTCCCAAGATTTCCAGAGGATGCCTGAATCCAGGGGTTGTACTGATTCCTGCTTGCACTATCTCTATACGTACAGACCTACACTAATTTGTGGACGAGATACAGCAATAGATTAGCAACAACTGATAAATAATAAGATGGAATCAGCATAATAGCACACTGCAGTCACAGTGACGGAGATGTGGTCCATCTCTGGAAACGTGTGTCCTAGTGCATTGTGCCCTCTCTTCTTCCTCGCGCATGAACACGCACCACTGGAGTTGTTATCAAATCTGGGAAAGTGAAAGAAGCTGGGCAGCTTCCTGGTGTTTTCAGATTCTGAGATGCAAATATTTTCATGTTCTGGACCTCTGTTGCCCAACCCTGGCACTTCCTTTGAATGGGGGTACACGAAGACATGAACTTTAACCTTCTGTGTGCTCTTCTCCCTCTTCCACTCAATTTCAAACCAGAAGGCGGGGGGGAAGGGACTAGTTAAAGGAGGTGATTGGAAACTGGCTGCTGAATCCTGGGTGATGGAGTCCCCGCTCTCATTCCCTTAGCCTTTTGTGCTTGTCAGAGTAATTAATGAAGTCTCATCGGCTTCATCAGCGGTAGGTTAATACTTCTCTGACGTCACAGTCCATTGCAAGTCAGGCAGCACTTTCTGGAGGCTCCTCCATAGCCAGTAGCTCAGGGCCCCAAGCTGCCAGCTTCCGAAGGACAGGATGCTGTGGGACTGGGAAGCAGACTGTAGGGGATGATGCTGATGGTTACGGCCACTGTCTATTACCCAGTGGCATGGCACCAACCTAAAAGCAAAGGACACTGGGAAGTATTATCATCATGTGCCCAGAAAGAAGAAAATTAAATGTGGTGATTACACAACACCGTCTCTACCATCTTTACCCACGTGACTGACTGATCAGCGAAACAGTTCTCCATGTTTATACCCCTCAGTGTTTCATGACACGTGGCCTATGAAACCATAGAGGATGGACAGATCCATATACCTTTTCTTCCAGATTTGATTGAATGGTTTGAAAGAGGATCAAGTACCTATTGTGAAAAGATTCATTTTCTGAAAAATAACTCCCCAATATTCTTTTCTCTTTCAATTATTCTCAGCTTCCTGGGGAGGCTGACATGGTCACTGACTGCCTTAAGCACATCACTCAGGGGCCTGTGTCCAGCTGAGAGAAACCCACATACACTGGACGCAAGCCTGCCACCTCGGTGCTGGCAGTCACCAGCAGTACAAAGGAGGTGATGCTTACCAAATCCTCCCTGAACAGCCCCATCTTGATGCTCTTTTTTGCAAATCCTGAATGTGCAGGGAACAAAGGGAAATTAAACCTTCAGCTCCACCATTACTGCCTTGGGAAAACTGGGACCCTTGGTAAATGCATGCCATTAAAATAAACGCCATTTGCACTTGCTGGCTCAGCCGTCATTTAGATCCTAAGAAGTCTTTGGGGAGAATCCAAAAGGAGGCTCGAGAATGTTCCATGGGGAACAGGTGAAGCTATTACTCTGAAGCGAGGTGGGTCAAGGACGGATGCTAGCAGTTAGGGACCAACAGAGACTCCTAGATTCCACACAATTCCCCCTTCCTAAGGGATGGGAAGGGTCTTTTAATTCAGCTTTGCCTCTGCCCCCCATGGCTAAGTCCCAAGCTCTGTGCATCACAGCTCTTGACACTGCTCTTCAGAAGTCCCTCCTTGACACCACCCTCCACATAGCTTGATGTGCCCAAGACTAAAAAGGGGGCGGCAGCAGGGGTAGGGGTCTCTTGTTTTGTAAAACTTGCGGTAGTGAAATTAGCAACATTCCAGGCAAGCTGGCATGAGTTGGCCACTCTATATTCCTGGGCAGCTGGGCACCTTCTCAGTCTGCTTCTTGCCTATAAAAAATTAGAAAACCAATAAATTCTCTAACATAAATAGTCACATCCCTTTTTAAACCAGCCTAAGTTGCTTTGGGGGAAAAAAAAAGCCTCATTCAAAATCTTTATTGATTTTTTTTTGTAGTTGAATCAAGACTACTCTATGTGCCAAAAGTCATACCCCCCAATTCACCCAATTTGTTCTGAGACGTTCAAACTACTTAGGAACACTTACTTTGGTGTATCAGGTTTCTATGAGTCTGTTTTCCACCAGGAGAAAAAAAAAAATCTTTTAGGCACCACTTTAATCCTTCCAAAGATCTATTAAACATTTGATTCAGTTTTCCCCAGGAGGTTGATTCTTAGGAAGCCTTTAAATTTGAAAAATCTCTCAATTTTGTATTTTACCAATTGGAGATGAAAAACAGCATAAGTTTTTCAGCTCTGAAACTTCTATAAATTCTTCATTTCCTCTCTGGCTTTCAAATCACCAGTTCTTTTTTGGACTCATCCTTTTGTGTTTTTTTTTTTAACATTTATTTATTTGAAAGACAAAAGAGAGAGGATGACATGAGAGCTCTTCCATTCTCTGGTTCACCCATGCTCACGACAGATGAAGCTGGGTCATGGCACTGGGGAGTGAGGAACTTGACCCTGTCTTTTGTGTGGGTGGGTCACTGGGGCCTCATACTTGAGTCAGCACCTGCTGATTAGAAGCAGAGCAGGGACTTAAGCCCAGGCACCCCAATATGGGACATGGGCACCCCAAGCAGGATCTCAACTTCTGTGTCAAAAGCCCACCCTTGAGCAGTGTGAAGAAGACTCGAGGGCGACCCCAGGACCGACCCAAGCCCGTGCTCCGCTGCATCCCAGCACCCACATCCCACCACCGCCACCACCACTACCACCATGCCCAAGAGAAAGGCCGAAGCGGATGCTAAAGGAGATGAGGTGAAGGTGAAGGGCAAACCACAGAGAAGATCGGCCAGATTGTCTGCTACACCAGCTCCTGCAAAGCCAGAACACGAGCCTAAAAAGGGAGTGAAGGTACCCAAAGGGAACAAGGGAAAAGCTGATGCTGGCAAGGACGGGAATAACCCTGCAGAAAATGGAGATGCCAAAACAGACCAGGCACTTGAAAGCCAAAGGTGCTGAAGATGCCAAGTGAAGTGGGTGCATTTCTGATAACTGTGTACTTCTGGTGACTATACAGTTTGCAATATTATTTTTTATGAAGTTTTATAAAAATGCAGAATTTTGTTTTACTTTTTTAAAAGCTATGTTGTTAGCATACAGAACACCTCATTGTTGTTTGGGGGAAGGGGCATAGGTCACTAATGGAAGGTGCCCGAAGCTAGGTTGGTGTGGGCGGAAACGCCTCCCCCTTGTAGCTTGGAGTGGCTTCCTCCTGGCTTGCAAGGGGGGTTCCCTGCTTTTGGCACATGGCCACCAGGGCACACAACCTGTGGCTTGGAAAATCTAAATTGGGTTTTATGTCTTCATCCTTCTCCTTGTCTGCCTTCAGCATAGACTTAACTCCCTTATACCCAGAGACCTGTTGGGACCTAACCCCTCCAAATTTGTTACCAGCGTGACAAGCAGTCCGGACTTGAAGGAGATCCCACCCAGTTGGTGTCCCTCAAAAGCGCAACGGTTCCTTTTCTAGATTGTGAATCTTCAGATTGAGCATAATGCCATTTGCATTTCCTGAAAGTCAGGGTCGTCTTGTGACAAGTTATTAAACAACATGCTCAATGTGAAATGTCAACCCTCACTCCAAACGACCCCTTTTCAGAGCATCAGATGAAGACTTCATTGGGTTTTATCATGGCTTTCTGATTTTGGTAGTCCATTGAGGAGGAAGTTGAAGGTGGTTGTGTACTGTTCATGACTGCCTGCCCATGTCCTGCCTGAAATACAATTATCATTATGAAAAGAATCTTTAATAAATCTAGATACAGTTTGGCTTGGGAAAAAAAAAAGTCCATTCTTCATCTTGCTTTAGTCTTTTTTTTTTTTTAAGATTTAATTTTTATTGGAAAGGCGGACATACAGAGAGGAGGAGAGACAGAGAGGAAGATCTTCCCTCCGATGATTCATTCCCCAAGTGGCTGCTACGGTTTGAGCTGAGCCAATCCGAAGCCAGGAGACAGGAACTTCTTTCCAGATTTCCCACATGGGTGCAGGGTACTAAGGCTCTGGGCCGTCCTCGACTGCTTTCCCAGGCCACAAGCAGGGAGCTGGATGGAAGTAGGTCTGCTGGGATTAGAACCAGCGCCCATATGGGATCCCCGCACGTTCAAGGCAAGGACTTCAGCCACTATGCTATAACACCAGGCCCAAAATTATATTTAACTCTTAAATTTAGTGGAACGATATTCTGAGCACTTTACGTGTAATAATATAACCTGCAAAGGCACTTGTTATGGACAAAGAATGGTTGCACAGCATGACGAAGTACCTTTCCCAAGTTCATGCTTCTAGTAACAGAGCAGAGATTGAGCCAAGCTACTCTGACATAAGACATGAAGGTCACCATTGGAGGAGCTAGTCATTTGCTTGGTGAGTCTATCAGCCAAGAGGAAATAGTTTTAAGGGGAGGGAATTCTAGAAATGGCCAGTAATGGCCTCCCTGGGAAAGAAGAGGCTCACAGTAAAAGGTTATACCGTGGTGGAATGATGGCTATTTGATGGGCGTGCTTTGTGAAAGCAAGAAATGTGGAATGAAAAGAGGCAAATTAAAGACACACTATCAAATGATAGATGTAGGGCCATGTGGGCGCCGGTTCTATCCCGGCAGCCCTGCTTTCCTTCCAGTTCCCTGCCTGTGGCCCGGGAAAGCAGTTGGGGACGGCCCAGAGCTTTGGGACCCTGCACCCGCGTGGGAGACCCAGAAGAGCTGTATCCTGGCTTTGGATCGGCATAGCATCGGCCTTTGCGGTCACTTAGGGAGTGAATCATTGGACGGAAGATCTTCCTCTCTGTCTCTCCTCTCTGTATATCCACCTTTCCAATAAAAATAAAATAATTCTTTTAAAAAAAAAATGATAGGGCCCGGCGCGGTGGCGCAAGTGGTTAAAGGTCCTCGCCTTGCACGCCCGGGATCCCATATGGGCGCCGGTTCTAATCCCGGCAGCCCCGCTTCCCTTCCAGCTCCCTGCCTGTGGCCTGGGAAAGCAGTCGAGGACGGCCCAAAGCTTTGGGAACCTGCACCCGCGTGGGAGACCCGGAAGAGGCTCCTGGCTCCTGGCTTCGGATCGGCATAGCATCGGCCGTTGCACTCACTTGGGGAGTGAATCATCGGATGGAGGATCTTCCTCTCTGTCTCTCCTCTCTGTATATCCGCCTTTCCAATGAAAAAATAATAAAAATAAATCTTTAAAAAAAATTAAAAAAAAATGATAGATGTGGCTTGGCCTAGCCCAGTCATAGGCCCAGTTTTTCCCACTGTTTTGAATTTTTAGGTTTGTAACTAGACATTCTCGGTAAAATCCACCTCTAGCAAATCAACATTCATGTTGGTAACACAGATAAATGTCCCCTGGTAACATAACCAACACCAGCAAATTCACAGCATGCAGCTGTTCTAGTCTGGATTTAATAGCAGGTGAAAAGCTATTATGGAAACCTGCTGTGCTAATGCCAATTACTACCTCAGTCTCACTTCACTCCCAAAGGGCTTGGAATGACTTCTTTCCTTGTGCTGTTGCTAAATGAGTCAATAGGTGTGAAAGGCATTGCAGAAATTTATATTTGTGATGATTTTATGGATGTCACCAACACAATAGCTTTGATTGCAGACACTACTCTGATTGAAGATGGAATGAGGCTGAAATGAGTCAGAAAACCAGCATTAGCCAGGCACGCACCCAAATCATACCAAGGGTAGACCCAGGACAAGTGCTTGGAGTTGCAGTGTCAGAAAAGACACAGCATCACGGCCATTCCACAAGTACTAATTGAGCACCTCTATACCAGGCTCCGTCTACACCTTGAAACCCTGAAGTTGAACGTGTTGGAGAAGATCCTGGTCCCAAAGCCAGGAGCCCCATAATGAACTGCTTGGGTTTTACCATTAACAAGAATTTTCTGCTTCTAGATTTCTTCACCAAATTAAAAAATATATGTGTGTGAGATGATTATGAGGATTAAGTGAGTGAACACTGCCAAAGCACGTAGAACACTGTGAAGTCCTCCTCACAACATCAATGCTTATTAAATAAATGGAACTCTGCTTAGTGAAGCAACGCAGATGTTGGTGATGGAACACTTAGCACAGTGGTTAAGACACCTCTTGGGAATGTGCATATTCCACATCAGAGTATGTGGGTTTGGCTTCTTGCTCTGGTTCCCAATTGAATTTCCTGCTAATACACACCGTGGAAGCAGAAGGAGGTGTTGGTTCAGTTAGTTTAATCCCTGCCACCTGGATCAGAGACCTGGACTAATTTCCCAGCTTCTGTCTCAGCCCTGACTATCGCTGGAATTTGGAGAATGAACCAGAAGATAGAAAATCTCTCTCTTGTCTGCCTTTCTAAGTAAATAGACACATGGCATTTTTATAAAACTAGATGTTAAGCCTGTAGAGTGTGGGTGCCAAGATGGGGTGAAATGAAACAAGTCTGAGTCTTATTCCAACTGAGCGCTCAGAGAGAGATGTCTTCAAACATCCAGAGGGTAAGAAGAGTTGGGACCGCGGTGCTTCAGGTCATGAAAGACCATAGAATAGGAGCGACCTTAGCAGCTTCCAGTAATGGAAAGTCAAGCATAGCTCTGGCCATTGAGCAGGTGAGAGATGACAGGAGAACTAGGAAAGTGTTGCCATGGAACTGTGCACATTGGCATTTGGAATGAAGATGTTAGAGTTCAGAGGTTCTGGGCAGAAAGAAAGTCTGTGGTGCTTTTAGATAGTGACTTGGCTGTTGTGTGGAGGAGAGATATGATGGGACCCTAAGAGTAGAAGATGGTGGCCAGGTGGACAGCTGTTGCCACACCGAGCTGACAGGAGATGCAATCATGGACAGGGGTATGTGCAGTGGATGTAGACAGAATGAAACATATTGGATATGGTTTGAAAGCAGAAGGAGGGCACGTATTTGCTCAGTGGTTCAGATGACACTTGCGTCATTTATATTCCATTATCAGAGTGCCTGGCTTTAAGTCTTAGCTCTGCTGCTAACTGCAGCTTCCTGGAACGTATGCCCTAGATGCTAACCCACATTACTTGGCAGCAGGTGATGATGGTTAAAGAACTTGGGTTTCTGACATCTGCGTGGGTGATCCAGATTGGGTTCCAGGGTTCCTGGCGTCAGCTTGGCCCAACCCTGGCTGTTGCAGAAGTTTAGGAAGTGAGCCAGCAGCTGAGAGATCTCCCAGTGGGGTCTCTCACCACCCTTCTTGGCTTTCAAACAGAGACAATAAACAGATTTATTTTTTAAAGTGGAAGAGCAGAACATGATGATACAAAGCCTTCGAGACATGATGGAAATAATGTCCAGAGTCAGCTCTCCATCAGTCTGACGGGTAGATGTGAGTGGGTCAGCTGGTGAGTTGGGAAGGACACTGCATGTGATAGTGGACAAACACTGGCAACTTGGGCCCCGGACCCAGCTCTGCCTCTTCCTAGTGTTGTAGCTTTGAGCAGTGGTTCCGATCTCATTCTTGCTTCCTCAATCATTGCAATGAGATGGAAACTATCTCCCCCAATTCTTTCTCAGGACTTTTGTAAATGAAAAGCTTTGAAAAATCCAAGCCACCCTCCATGAATATGGTTGCTATAATCACCAGCACAGTAGGGGCTCAAACATTCAATCATTGTAGCCTGTGTTTGAGAGGATTTCACTAAGACATCCAGCAAGGCATGCGGAGATACTGCCCTGCAATGCTGGAATAGAGGGAAGCTGGATCCCAGCCTCGCTCTGTGTCAAGCACACCAGCGACATGCTAACCATGAACCCAGTGATGCTCTTCCGGATGAAATGCACTCAGTTCAAAGGAAATGTGTATTGGGTTTTTAAGTGGGAAGAAATTTCATCACGTCTAGATGTTGCTTCCATAGTCAGTGAGCCCAATCAGAAAGAACTCTAGAGAGCAGAGAAAAATCAATCCTTTTTGGCTTCCACGGACTAATGGTCCATAACTGACAACCAGGCTAA